AAGAGGTTGTTGGGTATTTCCCTTTTCCCATGTAAAACCTGAAGTAAAGTTGACTTGGGTTGGGTAAGTCCTTCCTCCCAGTTGGTTAGGCTTTGGTAAAAACCCCACATGCAGGCTAGGTTCTGATAAAATAATTGTCCCTAGACCAGTCCTCTGAGGAGATCAGAGGCTCTGGTAGCAGCCTTTATTCGTCACCTTGCAAAATGCATGAGGGGGTTTTTGCTCTCATCTTCACCAAGAGAACCTGGTGTATTTTCTGAAAGAAGGCGCGGGAACGAGTAGGGGCCCTGCAAAGCACTGCCCGTAAAAGTTAGTCTCCAGTTCACACTTGGGTTCCAGCAACTAATCAATAGCCCTCTAACATTCTTACTAGTGTTTGGACTCCAGCAGAAGTTCTGCTCACAGTGAACTGTGACTCTGTATCATCTACACTTTAGTTTTAGGTGTCCTATTTCCCTATGACCCCCATTCACTGATGGACCTAAAACATATTGCCTACACTATTTCCCTGTGTGTTTAGGCATATACCAAGTGATTTTGTTCGGTGGGTTTTGTCTTTGTTTTTGTTTTGATGAAGAATAAAGTGTTGGGCATAAAAAAAGTTCCCTTTGGCAATATTTTTAGACCCTTACATCTCTGTTATTTTATAGAAATTTGACAAAGGCTCATTTCATAGAGTAGACCATTGAATGAGAGAAATTGCAACTTTAAAAGACTCAGCTTAAACGGAGTCTATGTGCTTTGATAATAAAACTATTTTTACCTAGTAAAATTTAAATGGAGGTATACTTTACTTCCATTTACTTTTAGTGTTCACTCAAAGAACATTGACATGACATCTGCTTTTATCTCATTTGATTCTGTATCTCCTATGATGGAGACATCATTCTAGACTGGAATATATTGTTGAGCAAGACAGCAAAAGACTTTTGATCTTGGTTATATACTGCAGTAATAAATAATAGGAAATGGTCATCATGAAAATGTAAGCTCTGTGAAATGATTGAAAGTAAAGGAAGGCATGAAAGATGCCAAAACAGAAGAATACAGGGCAGGCACGGGTTATCATTTTAAGCAGGACATTTAGAGTAGATCACATGGAACAGGCGATGTTTGAGCAGACTTGAAGGGGAAGAGAGGTCTGCCATGAACATATCTAGCCAGGGGACCTACAGGCAGATGAGACGGAGTGTGGCAAAGGAAAAGGATTGGTGACAAGAGCTTAGAGAGAGGACGATGAGTTAGAGTGAGGCATCTTAGCAGATGAGATCAAAGTGGTACCACAGACCAGGTAAGGACTTGGGTTTATTTCCTACTGTGGTTCTATGAACAGATGGTAGATATAATCATTTTAGTTCCTAAAAAGAATATCTGGCTACTCTTTTGAAATCTGGCATTATCGTTGGGAAGACTTGGAAAAAAAAAACAGGTAAGAAATGATGTGGCACAGACAAGAATTGTCTTGATTAGGGTGGGGTTCCTCAGGTAGTTGAAAAAGAGGAAATTTGAAGGTGTCTCTGTGTTGGTAGAATGAAGAAAGACAAAGAAGATGGAGAAATAATTGGATAATGCTTGCTTTGTGGGGAAGGGCAGACTTCAAGAATGTTAATTTTGAGCCACCTACTATGTGTGCAAATAGAAATCTTAAACAGATACATGGAATTGAGGGGAATTACTTGGCTAGAACAGTAGCAAATAGGTGCCATTTAAAGGCATAAACACGTAATGCGAAGATTATAGATAGAGAACTGTAGGTGAAGGGTGTAAATAGAGAATGACAGCCACGACACTTTAAAAGGCATGTGTATGTGAGCAGTGGGTGGCGTGGAAAGAAAAGAAACAAAAAAGTGAGAAAAATCATACAAAAAAAGAGGAAAATAGATCCAAGTGGAAGGAATCAAACTGCTTTGTCCAATGCTATTGGTATATTATGAAAAACAATACAGAAGAGTTAGAAATCCAAGGACCAACTCACAGCAACTTTTTTTTATACTCACAGATTAGGGTGTCTCGCAATTCTCATCAGAGAAACTTCATTGTGCAGCAGATGGAGACTGACACAGAGACAAGTAACTGGCCAAAGTGTAGAGAATAAGTGCCTGTGGAGTCCTCAGCCCTACATAGAGGCATCTCTATCACACCCCTTCCTCCCATAGCTTGGGGACCATTGCTGAAGAGGGTGCAGGAAGACTGTAAGATCCGGAGGCAGTGGGTGGCTAGTGCTTTCTGCACACAGTTGGGCAGCTGTCATATGAACGTACAGCCATTTTGACAGCATGCATACGGCCTGTGCAAACTCAAGCCAACTCAAATCATAACACAGAGATGGAGGATGAGCATGGTGTCTCATCCCCGGCTGTGGAGCTATTGGTAATTGATAGCTGCTGGCTGGGAAGGAGAAATTCAGTTTTCTTTTAGCGTTTTGGCTTCTTGCCGCTCTAATACACTCTACTGTATGGTTATACACCCAAGTGTATATATATAGGCAGCCCTAATTTGACTTGATGGATTTTAAAAGAAATATATAATGGCACAAAGTTGGGTGGGTATGGAATAGGGGATGAGTATGGGAATAGATGGGGGTTGAACATGATCAAAATGCAATGTATAAAAATGTTGAATTGCTAAAAAAAAAAACATTTAAAAAAGAAATAGAAGTACCGTCGATAGGTGAGCAATTGAACACAGAAAATTTGAATACAGGGGTTAGGCAGCTTGGCCTGAGATTTCTTCAGAGCCCATGGCAACCTCCAAAAGTAAGAAAGCTACTTTTTGCACACTGCACCCACTATGATGCAACATAGGTAAGGACCTGGCTTGCATTATGGCCCTGATGTTCTGATGGAATAATTTAGAGATACCTCAAAATTCCAAATGACGTCTAGTCGACCAATTTCTAGTTGAAACCAGGATGGCCAGCTACAGCTTGTTCTAAAATGTTGAAAACTGGCCATTTTTATTTAATTAACAAGGTTTTAGTTTCTGAAATTGTATGGATTTAAGAAGTCCGTGACATATATTCTTATAAGCTTTATAAAATGAACTGAAAAATAAGAGAACTTGGGATATATTTTTCCTTAGAGTTCTTCTCTTTGTTATTTCTTATTTTAAGTGAGCCTATAAATTTTATAGCATTTAATTGTAGAGGTCACCACTGATTTAACTTTATTTTGCTTTTAAATAAAACAATATTTTTAATATTTTCTAAGCTCTCATGAAAGTATTTTCTAAGCTCTCATGTTTTTAATTTTCAAGAACATGGGTAAAGTGTCTGATGTGGTGTCACATGTCTATAATGTCAGCTTTTGGGTAGAAGAGGTAAGAGGATCTTTACATGGTGAGGCCTGTCTGGGATATACAGTGAGTTCCAGGTTATCAGCCTTGGCTACAGAGTTAGGCCCTGTCTTCAAACAAACAAACACCAATAAGAAACCCCATAACACACAGCTCTACCCAATTCCAATGAACCTACTCCCCCTCAAAAAACAATAACCAACCGAACAACCAAACAAGAACACTGACTTACAGTAACTACACATGGGGGGGGGGGGAAACAATATGAACTTAAGAAAATGCTTATAAAATTTGTGTTAGAAAGATGTCAAAATATATGCTGTTATAAAATCATTTTTAATTCAAGAATATTTGTAATAATATTTTGAGATTACAATCTAGAGAACAATTAGGTACTATGAACACAATGTTCTAAGTGACTCTTAAATCTCAGAGTTCTTAGAATTCCAATTCACTTGTTCTCAGTGACACAGTTGTGTTTACTATATGTATTTTTTTTTACTGTGACCCACCCTATAACAGCATTTCTATTTAGGAAAAATATAGCACTGGTGGAAAAAAGTTAACACTGACATTTAAAAAACATCTGTCTTTAATGCCATGCTAAAAGTATATTACTTTTTGTGGGTTTTTTTGTTATGTTGTTTTACCCTGAAGGATAAGATTTGTATAATGGTTATGTTTGGAGCCTTATAAATGAGCTTTGCCTAAATTACCAGAGTGGTTCCTATAATTTTACAAATAATTCCTTGGTCTCAAAATTATGGCTTAAAATATAATTTTATCAAATAAAAATCAAATAAATAACTTATCAAATAATTATAAAACTTTCACACATAACTATTTATATGCTTTATATGTATGTATGATACATGTCATAAAGTGTATGCACACTTGCAAGAATGAGTAACATTTGAGTCAGGGGAGTGATTACTGTAGCAGGAATCTTAAAAGGTCTTATTAATTAAATCAAACCTAAGGCCAGTTATTGTGGTGAATGCTGGAAGATCAGAGAAGCAGAATAAGCCACAGCTACCTCTCCTTGCCAGTTCCTCAGCTGATCCTGTTTTCTCAGACTGGAAACCTCTGAGTCCTTATTCAAATGAATCTCAGCTGAACTGCTTCTCGAAATCCTGAATGCTTAACCAGCCAAATGCTTCTAGTTTCTGGTCTCCACGCCTTGTATATTTTTTTGCTTTCTGCCATCACTCTTTGGGATTAAAGGCGTGAATCACCATGCCTAGCAGTTTCAGTGTGGCCTTGAACTCAGAGATCCAGGGGGTTCTCTGCCTCTGGAATGCTAGGATTAAAGGTGTGAGTGCCATCATTTTCTAGCCTCTGTATCTAGTGGCTGTTCTGTTCTCTGACCCCAGGTAAGTTTATTAGGGTGCACAATATTTTGGGGAACACAATACCACCACAGATTACCATTTGTAGTAGTAAGGAGGAAGTGATTTTTGGTAAGGTTTATAGGGGTATAAGAAGGGATTGGATAATGTCTATGTCTTGAGCTAAATATGTTGACCTATGTATTTCTTTTGTCATAAAGTTTCAAAACTGAAAAGTCTCACACAAGGAAAATTATATCATGATTATTTGAGTTCTTTTTTCCCTCCTAAATGAAATTTATCTATGGGAACAGGAGACCATCTCATAGAAAGCATTTTGAACAAAATGTCAGATTTTTTTTTCTTTTTCATTTTCAGTTCAAAAGGACATAGTCCGGATTCTCCCCAGTTTAGATGTTGAAGTCAAAGATATTACTGACTCTTATGATGCTAACTGGTTTCTTCAGTTGCTGTCTACAGAAGATCTTTTTGAAATGACCAGCAAAGAGTTTCCTATAGTAGCTGAAGTCATCGAAGTGTCTCAAGGGAACCAACTGTCCCCAAGTATCTTACAGCCTGGGAAAACCATTGTGATCCACAAAAAGTACCAGGCTTCGAGGATCCTAGCTTCAGAAATTCGAAGCAATTTCCCTAAAAGACACTTCTTGATCCCCAGTAGCTACAAAGGCAAGTTCAAAAGGAGACCCCGGGAGTTCCCAACGGCCTATGACCTGCAGATATCTAAGACTGAGAAGGAAACTCTCCACGTGGTGGCCACCAAAGCCTTCCATACACTTCACAAAGAGCTGTCCTCTGTGTCTGTTGGGGACCAGTTCCTAGTGCATCATTCAGAGACCACAGAAGTCGTCTTTGAGGGAACAAGAACAGTGAATGTTCTGGCCTGTGAAAAAATCCTCAATAAGTCCTATGAGGCAGCACGGCTTCCTCTGTACATGGAAGGAGGTTTTGTAGAGGTGATTCATGATAAGAAACAGTACCAACTTTCAGAGCTCTGTACACAGTTCCGCTGGCCCTTCAATGTGAAGGTCTCTGTGAGAGATCTCTTCATTAAAGATGACATTTTGGCAGCTACTCCAGGGCTGCAGTTGGAGGAGGATATTACAGACTCTTACCTACTTGTCAGTGACTTTGCCAACCCCGGGGAATGTTGGGAAATTCCTATGGGCCGATTGAATATGACGGTTCAGTTAGTTAGTAGTAGTAATTTGTCTATGGATACAGGACCAATTGAAGTTAGGACTCTGGTAGAAGAGATCACTGAAGAACAATATTACATGATGAGGAGGTATGAAAGTTCTCTCTCACATCCCCCACCTCGCCCTCCCAAGCATCCCTCAGCGGAGGAAATGAAGTTAACCCTGCTCAGTTTAGCAGAAGAAAGAACAGGAGATCTACCCAAGTCTCCCAAGGTAAGACTGTGATTTCACAGATTTTTCTCTTCTTGAGATAATAAGTTTCTAGTTGCTTCCGAGTTTGCCTTTTTCTTGCTTTCATTTCTTTCCTACCAATTTGAAACAAGTCTGTGCAATGCATGCTAGATGAATGAACATCAGCAGAGGAGAAACCGTTGCAGCATGTTGTACTTTGATGCTTCACCAGTAGATGTGGCATGAAATCTGTGTTGAGTTAGAAATAGAATTGAAGACATTTGGCTATGACTGTGAAAGCTGCCATTCCAATGGGTTTTGACAATTAAACGTGTTGAATCAATCAGATCCCTCAGAAGAAATTCCCTTTTATTTTGGAAAAGTGGCTCATTTTTCTTAGGTAGAATTATCTTAATACTTCACCCAGGAAATGAGCATACAATAAACTCCCATCATCTGGGGGCGGGTAGGAGTTTACTGGTAACATGCATCTCTTAACACATGTCTTCATTTTGTTTTATGTGCAGAAAGATGTAAAAATATCTTGGCAGAACTGTGTGTGAGAATGTGAGCATCTGCCCACATAAAGCCTCTTAGAATTGTAATCTTTAACAGTTCCGCTGAAAAATAAAATCAATAAACGTAGAGGCACCACAGGATCTCTACGGAATTATCAAATCCACAACTGCTCAAGATGGTAGACCACAGTTCAGCATCATTTGTACTTGATGTCATTGAATCTTAAACACTGCCTGCTGGCTACCTGAACTGAGCTTGTCCTTGCCCAGGACATACATGGATTTTTGTGTGTGTGGCTGAGGTTCTGTGGTATATGGAGGGAGTGTGTTCTGTTCCAGCAGATGTTGTGCTAGAAGCACAAGGAAAACAAAACAATTAGTAAAAGAGATACTTCCTGTGCGTTCCTCATATTCAGGAACGATGGTAGCACTGGGCATCAAGACTCATAGATGGATGTGGATATGCTTGCAGTTGCATATTTCAAAGACTGTTCTAATTGTATGCTAGAGGAATCCTTAAGGATCACCAAAGCCATTTTCTCGAAGAAAAAAAGAAAAGATAAAACTAGCAAAAAATTTCTATTTGGAAGAATAATTTTTTAAAAGATGACAAAACAAAACAGTTCCAAAATAAAACTGATTAGCTAAAGTGAAGGGTTTCTTTGATTCTTATACTTTGATATTATCACTGGTGGTCAGGGTGTAGGCCTAGTATTCCCAGCTTCTTGGCATCTTATTTCAAGAATGAAGAAAAAAAAACATATTTTCAAGAGTAGCAAGAAAACAATATTCAAAGCAAAGCAATAGAACAGATAAAAAAAAATACACCCTTAGAAGTGATGGAGTGCCACATGAGTGAAGGTATTCAAGGACCCCATTATTGTTTGGGGCTCTCATTTATTGGTTGTCAACTTGGCATACATGGGAAGAGGGACACTCAATTGATGGAATGCCTCCATCTTATTGGCCTATGGGCATGTCTGTGAGGCATGCCTGTGGTGACTAGGGACATAGTTTGGGTGGTTGTCCATTTCAATTGACAAGCTTACATAGGCTTTGCTTACTGTGTATGACCCTTCTTAGCATGCATCTGATTTTAATTATATATAGGCAGAAGGTGAATAGAATATTGCTAGCAGATTACTGTGTACATTGTTCATAGAGGTGTGTGTGTGTGTGTGTGTGTGTGTGTGTGTGTGTGTGATGTGTGTGTGTGTGTGTATAATATTTGTGGGTTGAAAGTCTCAGGTTGCCAAGTGCCTGATGTGTATGAGGGATGTGTATATAACCAAGCCAAGTAGAGTTCTAAGCGACTAAGCTATTTCCTATTCTTGCCTGCTTCAAAGTGAAAAATAGATGTTTTCCTATTTTTTATCAGTGGGCAGTATAATATCACCCACCCAAAGATGTGTACACCTAACTTCCCAGAATCTACCAGGATATAACAAGGCATGGCAAAAGAAATTTTCACATATGCTTAAAATCCAGGACCTCATAATGAGATTATCCTGCAGTATCCATATAGATCTAACTTAAGCACTGAAGTCTGTAGTAATGTTTTGTTTGTGCTCTAACAAAGCTTGCCTGAAGATCAGAGGGTGGAGCCAGCCAACAGGTCTGGAGGTCTTTACAGAGAGACAGGAAGTGATATGGTTAGGTGGAGAGAAGAATATAAGGTGGGAAGAGATAGGAGCTCAGCCTCTTTTTGGCTGAGGACTTCATAGAGGTAAGAACTAGTGGCTGGCTGCTCTGCCTCTCTGATCAATCTTTCAGCTTTCACCCCATAATACATGACTCCAGGTTTTTATTATTAAGACCAATTAGAATTAGTGTTACAGAAGTCTTCACAAAGAACTTTTCCAGTGGAGGACAGCATTATGTGAGATGTGGTTAAAGAAGAATGCCCAAAGAGACAATGTTCCTGTTTTCAGTGAGAGAGGCAGGGAGTAGGACATAAAGTGTTGACAATGCTTCTCCAGAGTCAGAAAGCACAGACAGTCTTCCCTAGACGGTCCAGAAAGAGACAGCTTAGCTGGCGATATGCCAGTTTGACCCAATCAGATCTGGGTTGGACCTCTGACTTGCTGGACTCTAAGATAATAAAATTATGTTATTTAAAATAATAAACGTATAGTAACATTATAGCAAGAATAAAAAGACAAAATATGATTTGAAGATGTTTAGGGATTAATAAAAGCCTTGAATAGCTAAATCTCTGTATATGGGCTAGGCCATATACTGCTGGAAAGTGATTTGTTTGTTTGTTTGTGACAGTGATGCTGTATAACCCAGGCTAGCCTCAATCTCATGTTCTTCTTGCCTTAGCCTCCTGAATAGCTAAGAGATTTGTACCACAAATAACCCACCTTCAAACCTATAACCCACCTTTCCTTTCCCTCCTCCCCTTTCCCTCCCCTCCCTTTCCATCTCTTCCCCAACTGCTCCCCTTCTTTCCTCCCTCCCTCTCTCTTCCTTCCTTTCTCCTTCCTCACCCTGTCATAGTTAGTTTTGGTTGTCATTTCGATATCCCTGAAAAAAATGTCCCTCAGTTGATGGAATGCCTCCATCTTATTGGCCTTTGGGTATGTCTTTGGGGTATTTTATTAACTGCTAATTGATATAGGAAGGTGCAGCCTACTATGAGCAGTACCATTTCTAAATAAGGGGTCTGGTGCTATGTAATAAAGGGAGCTCAAGAAGTAAGAGAACGTAAGCCTGTAGATAGCAGTGCTCCATGGACTCTGCTTTACTTCCTGCCTTCAGGTTCCTGCTGTGAGATCCTGTCTTGGTTTCTCTTCGTGATGGACTGTAACCTGTAAGCCAGATAATACCTCCTAGTTGCTTTTGATCAATGTTTATCACACTAACAGAAGCAAACCAGAATACACCTTTTCTTTATTTTCTTCCTTTTAAAGTGAGTTTTATCAGCTCCTGTGCCCATGGGGAACCTGAGGGCACAGCTAAGCTTTAGAACCAGTGGGAGAGGGGATCTTGAGACTAGCTACAGTAATATTTGTTTTTCTTTTTTTATTGGTTTTACTTTCTCCAGCTAGTTTTGTTTGCACATGCCACAACACTTCTAAGAGTTCCTGTATCATATATTTCAGTTTCAATACTAGAAAAGAGTGCTGTCTCATTATCTGGACTGAATTGAAAAAGAGAAAAGACATAGGTTAGAGTGACTCAGCCAGTTTACTGCTTGCCTCAACTCTAGGCCAAGTTGATGAATGTTTTAGTTTTAAATCCATGACTCGAAGACTTACAAAGAAAACAAATATTCCGGTCTTAGAATTCTGGAGGCTAGGAAGTGCAGCATCAAGTTGCTATTGAGTTTGTTCTCCAGTTCCAAGATGGAATCTTGTTCCTGCATCCCCCAGAAAGGAGAGCACCATTTCCTTGTATACCAGAAATTCAGAAGAGGGGAAACTCATCCCTCAAGACTTTTAACAACAAAGTTCTTAAGTATACTTTTGCATGGCTATATCTTTTGGCCTAAGCTCTTTCAATCCATCCCACCTCCTCCTACTATTGCATTAGTGTGAAGTTGCCTGCATGAGCTTTGGAAGAGACAAAAAGCATCCAAACAAACCAAAGCAGTGAAGAAGACTATCAGGTCTGGCCACCTCAAAAACTAGAGGCAAAAAATTAAGGTGATATAAAATAACAGATGTCTACTACTTTCCCAAAATTAAAGATTTATAAATCTTAAACCAAGAAAACATTCATAGATTAAAGTAGATTAAATTTTTTTTTAAATACCTTCTAAAGGTAGAAAATGATTTAGGTGTTTTGTTAGGAGAAAAGTACATATTTCATGTACTAAAATGACTAAATTGATGTATGCTGATTTCAAGATCTACATAGTAATTTGTTTTCTAACTAGATCCAGGGGAGTTCATGGTGTTGAGACCTGAATCCTGCTCTGAACAATGATGGCTTGGGGTTGGTAAAGAGTCATGAAGTTCTAGAACTATTTTTATTTGAGGAACAAGAGCTGAGTGACAGCTTAAATTTGAAAGACTTGACACTAGGTGATATTAGTTATGGTATACATTTAAGGAGCTGTTCAAAGCCTGAAGAGATGACACACTGTTGCTAGAGTTTTCCTGCCTTGCCCACAGTCAGGACAAATCTTTGTCACCTGCCAGTTCCACAGCCGCTCAGACCCAACCAAGTAAACACAGAGACTTGTATTGCTTACAAACTGTATGGCCGTGGCAGGCTTCTTGCTAACTGTTCTTATAGCTTAAATTAATACGTTTCCATAAATCTATACCTTGCCACATGGCTCGTGGCTTACTGGCATCTTCATATGCTGCTTGTCCTGGCAGCGGCTGGCAGTGACTCCTTCTGCCTTCCTGTTCTTTCTTTTCTCCTCTCTGTTAGTCCCGCCTATCCTTCCTGCCTAGCCACTGGCCAATCAGTATTTTATTTATTGACCAATCAGAGCAACACATTTGCCATACAGAACATCCCACAGCAACACACACCTGTCATCATATCACTTGGGATGTAGAGACAGGA